TTCCCAATTAATATAAGCATAGTGCGGACTCGCATTCCAGAATGGAGTATTAGTTTGACCTACACATACTAGCACTCTATCACATTCAAGTAACATATGAATATAACATGTTAAATAAATTAGTCAGAAGGTTAATTAACTAACCAGTCGGAACAACATTTTTGACATTATTAGTGTCCACATCACAATTAGAGTCACTACCCTCAAGAGGAACTTCTTCATTTACACCTTCATCAGAGTCACTACCCTCAGGAGGAACTTCTTCATATACATCTTCATTAGAGGCGCCCAAATTAACATCCACGTAAGCTGCACTGTCTTTCTTTTCTACAACTGTATTCTCCCATTGATCTGACGGAGCATCAGAATATGGAAAATTTAGATCCAATGACTGAACAGGCAAAGAAGAACTGCCTGCACAAGCAATGTCGGCATACAACTCAAGCATCGTCATTGCAGACTGTTGTAGAAGCGACTGTTGTAGATACAGATTGAACATCATATCAACATCATCATCATCAGCAATTTCTAGCATAACAAATTTTTCTATTGTATGATATTGGCTGGTTAATCGAGACACCGATTGATTGGGACCTAGCTTCAATTTATCCGCAATCTTTATTTTTAAATCATGCAATCTCAACCTGCATTGTATTTGTATTCCTTTGGTTTGCCCTTCAAATGTCCATCCTATAGCACCTTCATGTAATCTACCATTTTAATATATGATTGCATAAATTGACCCCACATCTAGAAAGAAAACAGTAAAATATTAGGCAATAAGATGTTTTATGAAAATTAGAAATGAGATAAATCAAATAATTTATTCTAAATAACATTATTAAAATACTGAACATTATACATGCCTATGTTAGGATATTACAATATATTTCATTGTTTCAAATATCTAAATGTAATTACTTACACATGAACATAAAAATATATTTTATTATGTAAAATCTCTTTTAATTATACATGCCTATGTTACGATATCACAAAAGAATTAATTTCAAATTAATACAACTATTACTAATTAAAACAAACCGTAAATATTAATAACAAATTAATTATTCTAAATTATATTATTAAAATACTAAACACAACTCATCAATGACTAATTATTATGTCAAATATCTAAATATAAAAACATTATACACATCAACATAACAATATATTTTATTGTTATCAAAAAAAAAAAACAATATATTTTATTATGTAAAATCTCTATATATTAATTATACACGCCTATGTTAGGATATCACGAAAGAATTAATTTAAAATTATAACAACTATTACTAATTAAAACAAACCCTAAATATTAATAAAAATTAATTATTCTAATTTTTTATTAAAATACTAAACACTACTCATCAATGACTAATTATTATAACGAATATATAAATGTAATTAATTACACATGAACATAAAAAATTAATTATTATTTAAATTCTCTATATATTATTAATTATACATGCTTATGTTATTAGGATAACACAAAATAATTAATTTCAAAAATTATAACAACTATTTCTAGTTAAAAGAAACTCTAAATATTTATAAATTAATAATTTTAAATCATATTATTAAAATATTAAACACTACTTTCCAATGACTAATTATTATGACAACTATATAAATATAATTAATTGCACACATGCTTGTGTTAGTAAAAAAACTAGTGTATTAGATTACCAAAAAAAAACTAGCGTATTCTAAATATTATTATGTCAAATATCTAAAATAAGTAAGAAATTAAATTATTTTAATTAAGGGTTCACTTTTTCTACAGTCAATGTAGATAACTTATCTAAAGTGAGCCCAAAATGACGTCGTTTTGAAGAGAAAATCAAGATATTTTTGTAATTATAATTTATTTCAGGGTTATAATAGTCTTTTTCATTATAATTTTTTAATTTTTCAACCCAAATCGATGTCGTTTTGAAAGCGAATGTAGAACATTAAAGCCTTTAATTAATTAATAAAATGACAATGATGTTAACTTACTTGCCTTGCAACTTTTTTGCTTTGGAAATAAAACAAAAGGAGTATGTCTCTGCAAATGGAAATAAAACAGAGGAGAAGAGAATGTTGCAAATGAAAAAAGAAAGAGATAGAAGAATGTTTACAGATCTGAAATTTTGAAAGCGAGAGGAGGTAAAATTAGGATAATGAGAGGCTTGGACGGTTGGGGTCGTGCCACTTGGCATGTCGTCCGAGTTCCCCAGGGGGGGTGACACTCAAATAATTAAAAGAAGGGTAATTTTAAATGAGTGCCATTGGGGGGATGGACGACATTTAAGTAATAAAAAATAAAATCAAATTTAGTGCCGATGGGGGGTGGGGGCGGCACTGTGTCCGAAAAGAAAAAAAAAACACATGAGTGACGGTGGGGACTGTGGGCGTGATTTAAAGTCGTTGAGTCCCTCCTGCGGCACTCAAAGACCCCAAACGATAATATCTCCCAACCAAATACCAAATTCATAAATTTACAGGGAAAAAATCCCAAACTAGTCAAAAAGCCGCTCTATTGTATGTGCCAATTGCCATTTAGCTTTGTCTATAACTCACTAGAGACTCAAGAAACAAAGAGAAGATGTATACGAACGACAAGATCTACTTCTAGGGTTTGTCGAAGTCAAGATTAGATGTAGGTTGGGCCAAAACCTAATCTAACATAACCTATTTACCCCTCTGATAGAAATTTATATTAAGTATTTGTTTCCTATTTAATTATTAAATATCATTGCATTTAGAAAATCTACTTAATATATATTTTTAAAGAATTTAATGAATAATTTTTATTTTCAAAATATGAATTAATACCATTGTATCTAATCCTAATTAATGTTTTCAGACTATTGTTTATTGTTGTATGGAAGGTATACTTCTCATACTGAAAATTCTTATCATTATATAAATTTATCGTTTAAACTTAATTAAACTTAGCTTTTTATTTGAAGACACCGTTGGAGGTTGAATGAATTATATCATTAGAGCTAATATAATTAATCAAACACACATAAATAAAAAATGAAAAAATTACATATAATCAAGAATATCACAATGATGATAATCCTTTCTAAAATTTATTGGCACCTTTGTTTTTTTTTAAAAAAAACAAAATTTAAATGTGTGCTTTTTACTAGATCTCTTTAATTTTAACTTTTTAATGGACTCCCTGAATTCACTTACCCTTAGATTGATAATAGAAATCTAATTAAGTTCTTTTGAAAAAATTATACGAATCTAATTCAAAATTTATTTTATATAAATTTATTTAAAAGTTATCAAAATTATAGGAAAGTTGCATATTAATTTAACACTAATGATATGCCTGAAAATATACACCTAAGTTGTAGGTAAGTAAATTATTATTGACCAGCTTGAAAGTATCATCATCGTTGACTTTTTATTGTTAAAAAATAATTTGTTTTTAGGTTAATCATATGATAAATGTCAGTAACCAATAATTAACTTGTGACTGGAAATTTTGACACTCTTATTTGTATGATAACATTTCCTCTTTATTACTTAAAATTTTAATTACCTAAAATGATCTTTATTAATTTATCTATTTAATTAATAAATGAAACTTTTCATTACTTATACTTAGTTATTTTATAACATTTTCCCATATGCTATTTAAGAGCTAAACAAGAAACAGAATTACTTTTTTTAATGAGGTTTTTTATTAATAAGTACTTTAAATTAAATGTGTAATTAATTAATTAAGTATAAGAAGTAAAAAAATTTAAATAATTAAATTGATAAACTAATAAAAATCATTTTAGACAATTAAAATTTTAAGAAATTATAAAAAAATGTGAATAAGCAAAAATAAACCGGATTAATCGGCTAATGAATCAACTGGTGGATACATATAAAAAAACAGAAGCAAATATGAATTCCACTTATTAATAACCACATGTAATTGAGTAATAGGTTTTCATATGTAGACCTAGATGTAGATATGGATATAGATATAACATTCTTGTTTATTTAACTTGTTTTTTCTTTTTTCTCGATTCTTGTAAAGGAGCACCTTCACCAACCGATTCTCAAAATAAGATGGAACTAAAATAATAAATAAAGAAGGGAAGAGAAACTGTGCCCCACCCACCCGTGTCCTTTTCTTAACCCTTTGATTATTTTATTTGCATTCTTTAATCCTTCACATTGGACTCCTGTAGCAACATGGGAAACTCAGTCACTGCGTGAAGCACCTTTCTCTCTCTCTCTCTAATGCTCTTAATTCTTCAAAGCTCCTTTGCCTTTTTCTTGAAATGGGCAAATAAAAAATTATGGTGGTGGTGTTGTGGTTAGGATACCGATTAAATTATTGTTTTTTTGTGTGTATTTTAATCCACAAAATGCAAAGCATATACTAAATTAAGCATAAGTTTCCAGCAAACGGTGGGTGTCTCCATGTTGCATCTCTCTCCTTCTTTCTTCTTCTTTGCTTTAGTTTCTTCCTTCAACACTCCAACTCACTTGTCTTCTTCTCATTCACTCTCTTCCTCTTACGTTTCTCTCTGCAACTTCAACTTCAACTTCAACTTAACATGTCTATGTTGTTATTTTGCCTTAGTCCACCACCAACGTCTCTTTTCTCTTTGCTTTGATTGCATATTCTGTAACGTTCACCCTCCATTTACTGCTACCTTTGACTTTGGTTTACTAACACCTCCATCTCTCCTTTGCAAGTGGCTTTTTCCTCTTTCTCTTTCTCTTTCTCTTTCTCTTTCTCTTTTGGTCTTTATATTATTTATAAAACGTTGCCTTATGGGCGTTTCTCTTCTCCATTCCCCTTTCGCAGCCTTTCTTCGGGTTCTGAATATTTGCATAAATATGCACAAACCCTTGTCTTAAAACCTTCACTTTTCTTTATTTTCCCCCACTAAACCAATCTGTGGTCTTTTTTTTTTTTATGTTCTTAATCTCTATGAACGCTGATCAACCTCTCATGAGTCATGATGTGAAGCTTTTTAGTTTTTGTGCTCGGTCTTCATCTGGGGTAAGCATCTCTTTTGAAGATGGATGAGATTCATTTCTATACACAATATCATTCGGTTCTAAATTCTTTTATGCAAACATTAGCTGAAATTTTCAATCTTTTGTTTCTAGAATTTTTGTTAACCAACAAATGGAAACGCCTTGCTTAATTAGTGTCTTACTTATCTCATGCTTATGAGAATATTCATTTGGGTTTTGTAATTTTTATAGATTTGTTATCAACCAAAGAAAACTCTCCTATTCTGTTTTTATTTTTTATTTTGGGTAGTACTGATTAACCTATAAAGAAGATTTTTTGTTTTCGTTCTTGTTTGTGAGATTTCTTTGTCTGTTTGTTCAACTTGTATATGTATGCATCTGTCATGTCTTGTTCTTAACGTCTCACATTTCAAACAAGTAACTGTTGTTGCTGATAATTTTGTCTTGATTTTCTTTCTGCAGTTTCACTGATCAACGTTCAGAGAAAAAGAAACAGAGGACCAGGGAAAAGAACGTTTGCTAGGAAATGACCTATTATGACTAGTAAAAAAGCATTACCCATCTCAACCTTTGGTAGTGGCTTTTGGGTTAGTTATCAGAATTCCCCAGCAAAAAAGATGAGGATTCTCGAATTTTCACCCTCTGATGGCAATGGTTCTTCGGCTGATGATGAACCTTTACCTCAGGATGCAGATTATGATGCTGTGAGTCTCAGTGATGAGCTTGAGACTTCAATCTTGGCCAGATTTCCAAGATCACAGCACTGGAAATTGTGTTTTATAAATAAGTGGTTCTTGAATCTTATTAAGAGTGGTGAGATCTATAAAATAAGAAGAGAGTTAGGATTCAAAGAACCAACTGTGTTTATGTTAGCTAGTGGTGAGAGCAATTGGTGGGGAATGGATTGGCCTTTCAAGTCAAGCAGAAAGCTTCCTCCTATTCAATCAGATTACAACTTTGAGTATGGAGATAAGGAATCATTTACTGCAGGGTCCCATCTTTTAGTTTCAGGCAAGGAGATTGATGGAGCTGTTATTTGGAGGTATGATTCAGAAACTGATGAATGGCTCAAGGGTCCTTCAATGATCAATCCAAGGTGTCTTTTTGCATCAGCTACCTGTGGTAACTTTGCTTTTGTTGCTGGTGGTATTGAGACAAACACTTACAGCCATGTCTTGGATTCTGCTGAGAAGTACAATTCAGTGAGCCAAACATGGGAACTTCTTCCCAAGATGAACCAGAAGAGGAAGTTTTGCTCCGGTTGTTTCATGGATAACAAGTTCTATGTCATTGGAGGACAAGATGAGCATCTGAAGGACCTCACTTGTGGGGAATTCTTTGATGCAAAGACAAATAGTTGGAACTTGATTCCTGACATGTGTAAAGATATTCCTCTTTCAGTTTCACAATCTCCACCTCTTCTTGCTGTTGTTAATAATGAGCTTTACACGCTCGATGCTTCTTCCAATGAGCTGAAAGTGTATATGAAGGGAAGCAACACATGGAAGAAGTTAGGTGTGGTTCCAGTGAGAGCTGATGCTCAAGGAGGTTGGGGTGTGGCATTTAAGTCTCTTGGTGATGAGATACTTGTTATTGGTGCATCTGCTGTCTCCCATACAGAACGTGCCTTGACTGTTTATACTTGTTGCCCTGATCCAGATATTGAAAAATTGCGGTGGAAGCAAATTGAATGTGGCAGCATCCAGCTTAATCACTTTATTCGCAATTGTGCTGTGATGGGAACATAAAAGTCTGAATTTTAAGCAACAAGAAGAGTAGCTTGAAACCAATCTCAAAATAAAACTTGCAGGTTATTCTGGAATTGTCCATAATTACATCATCAAGCTTCTGTTATTTGATCTTTGTTTTTCCTATGTCACATGTGGTTGTCACTTTCTCAAACATCTTGTTAGGAAGCTTGTTGATGTATCTTGTTCCTTTCAACTTTAAAGTAGCAGGGGATTGATTGAAAATGGCTAGTACATCCTATTGTTGGTGAAGAAGTTTCATAGCTCAAATGCTATTTCTTTCTTCTGTTGTTCTGATGCCCTGATTTAGTTATCTATGTCAAGAATTCAAATCATGTTATGGAATATCAAATTTGAAGCATTTGCTTTGATTGAGTAGCCATACTTTAAAATACTTTTCAGTTCTTTCTGATCAGTTTCAAGCAGAACTATTTCCCAATTTTAATGAACTAACGAACCGTGAAATTTAAACTGATATGTCTTATTTCCGAGAGTTGGTTTGATGTTCCTTAAAAAATGAAAATGAAAATTTTTGGGATGAAGATTCATCTTTCAATTTTTCATCCCAAGTTTAAGGGCAACAAAAAAAAAGAAGGGAAAACTTCAAAAATTTCCTTAAGAGTTTTCTTAATTATCATTTATCCCCTCACAAATTTTTTTGAATCATTTGCACCCTTATTTAGATTATTTTTATCACTTATCCCACTGATTTAAAGTTTCTTTATCATTTACCTCTCTCATTTTGGGGGTAAATGATAAAAAAAATTTAAGTCAAGAAGTAAATGATTTAAAATTTTAGGAAAGGGATAAATGATTACTAAGAAAGTTATAGAGAGGTTTTTTGAAATTTTCCCAAAAAAACATGCACGAAGAATTAGACTCAAATTATAGTTAGACTCAAATTAGTCTCTGTATATTCGTACTCTTATTTTTCCACTTCATTTAAATGTGAAGTACTTAATGTACATGGTGCCATAGTGCACTAAGCATTGTTCCATTAGTGAATTCGATATAGAATTTTTTTGTTTTCCTTGAGTTTGATTGAATAGATAGAGTAAAAACATTCACATAAACTTCTTCCCAAACTGTTCAAGTGTCTGTACTAAGGAGTTTGTGAGAAGGATTATTAAACTTGGTAAAAAGGTTTTTATCATTAAAAAGTTGTGCGCCATTTTGAAAAAGAATGTTGTTGTATGCATAAATAAAAACTCCGACAGAATTACAGAATTTTAATCAATATATTCATTTTTCTCTTCATTCTCTTCCTTTTTATCTAAATCATTAAAGACTCTTCCTCACTTTTTATGTGGTTTGTATTCAAATTATTCACGTACTTTTCCCTTTGGAAAGAGCAGGAGAGAGATTGAGATAGAAAAATGAATGCTAATGATGTTAAATTGTTAACTATGTGTGGTATGTCAGAAATTTTTTATGATAATGATGTTCATTCCTAGAGAAAAGAGACACTGAGCGCTATGGCTGTTAGTTCGATCAATATGTTCCTGAATTAAATTAAGAGTAAAAAATAAATAAACAATTCTTTGCACGTATAAAACTTGCAAGTCTCTGTCTTGAGTGATTATATAAAAAATTTCCATTCAAATATGAATGTCATAAGATGGTCTTTATACTTGGGATAACTGAATATAAGCAAATATCATCTTAAAAAATAAGTTAAAAGGAAAATATTTGTAGGGGACCAAGTTAACAAAAAAAGAATACGATTTTGAGCTTCACTTAACAATAAAATGCTTTTCAGGGTGGACAAAAGATTTCATCTGTTTTTTTGTTGTTCTCCCTTATTTTGGGCCTTAAAACTTAAAAGTCCAATGGCACACGAGAACGAGAGTTAGCCTAAAAAGAAAAATGGCGGGAAAATAATATGAATGCTGGGAACGAAAATGGAGGAACCGAAGTGAGAGTGTCGGAGAACCTGAAGCGTCTTCACTCTCTTCTATTGGTCAATCCCATTTGGATCTCTTATTTTCTAGGAGTGTTCGCAGTTTGGATTGGATTAGATTTGGAAGCAAAAATCATCTGATCCAATTCCTTCGGTTTAATCATGTAATTATTCATTTGGTTTGGATTTTTTTTTTCAAATCCGATCCGATCCGATCCGATCCATTCCAATTTTTTTCGGTTTGGATTGGATTGGATTGGTTTTCGGTTTTTTGAAAATTCTAAAATTTGTTTAATGATTATTGTGCAAATAACATCTTTTGTATATATTGGTTTTGTAATTTTTTTTTTTTTGAAATACAAAAGAATCAGTAAACGATATTAAATTATTTTTTTGAACAATGAGATATAAAACTCTACTAAGATGAAATTTTGTTGATGAGATGTGATTAGGTTTTTTCTTGGGTTTAGTTGATGAGTTATTGGGTTTAGAAATTTTTGGACTATAATTGGAAAAAAAACCCAAGTAGGTAAAGGGGAATTAACATATTGGATCGGTTTTCATCAACCTGTCCAAAAACCAATCTAATCCAATTAAAATTTATGATTTTTTTTCGGTTTTTCGATTTTTCGATTTTTGGTTTATTCGGTTATCGATTTTTTGGTTCGGTCACCGCAGTTTGAATCGGTTTGGATCGGTTGATGAACACCCCTATTATTTCCGATTTCGGTTGGTATCTGTAACACCCCGTATATATCTGGTATGTTATCATGTCTTCGTATTAAGCTGCGCTTAATTAAAAATGCGGAATATCTTTTTCTTTTCAATTATGATGTCGTTAATCATTACCAACTTGATTACTTAATCATTTTCAAAACATCGTATGTATGTAAATTGCAAAAGACAGCTAACTGAAATACCTCAATATAAAATTAACATCAATATGTCTCTAGTCACGGAACTACAACACGTAGACCGGACAACCCTGATAGTTTATACAACTCAAGCTAAAAGTACTAACATCAACGTGGCATAGACAAACCCATGCTCACCAAATAAGGCAAAAAAGCCCACAAAAGTCTCAACAACAGCAACATAATAATAACAAGCTAAAAGCATAACATCAGCAGATATATTCCAGCATCCAAACATGTCAGCATATAACATCAATATCAGCTAAGATCCGGCCTCCTGCCGCTAGAGGCATCAGCCCCCAAGTTACCTGAACCTGAAATAAGCGTCCCCAAACGTGGGGTGAAATCTCTAAACAAAAAATCTCAGTAAGACAAGGGGTCCTCAAGGATCTTCCACCCCAAGCTCACTTACATGTGCAATATAAGTTCAAAAGCATTTAACAGTATAAGTTCCAAACTATGCAGTGCAACAGATATTCATGCCATGTGTGTTTTAACTATTCTACTGGCTAGAGAAATGCAGGACGTACGTCTACAATCCCACAATAAGTACAAGGAACACCGCTTACACCTCACCCACAGCCTCACCATCTTGTATGTCTCCACATACTCAGGCTTACCGTATAGGTGGAACACCACATGCATATCATAAAGGCACTCGCATATAACAGCTCAATAGCATTTATCAAAACAATACATGAAAACAACATCATGCATATAAACCATCCCCCCATGGGACATGGTGGATCGAACAATGGCTAAACCGAGGACACGAAAGCTTACCTTGTAAGCTAGCTATCCAAACCAAGAGTCCACACAAGCTCAAGGCCCACAAACAGCACAATCACAATCTGTTAATACAATACTTAATCATCAATAATCATCACTCAAGATTACACTAAGTGATTAAGGTTTTCATACTCATTTTAACTCATTTCATGTTATTTCTGCAGGAGGTATTCGAATACTCCACGAGTAGTATTCAAATACTCCAGCTCTCCAGAAAGTATTCGATTACTTTCATTTAAGTATTCGAATACTACCAAGTATCCGAATTCTTTCCCCCAGTATCCGAATACCACAGTATCCGAATACCAAACCTCACCGTATTTGAATACTTTCCATTATTCGAATACTTCTTCAAAGGTATCCGAATACTTTTCTTCCCAGAAAAGTATTCCAATACTCCTGCAAGGAGTATTCGACTACCAGTTTAAAACTAAAGTTGCAACTCTTTACCAATTACTCTAATATTTTAATATGTTAAACTAGACATCTCAAGATTTCCAACGACATATTTTATGTCTCAATCGGAGTTGTATAACTCCGGTTATGATTTTTGCAAAGTTCCTACAACAAACTGAATTTCTAGCAATAGGATCACGACTTCAAACATAAACTGAGAGCAATCCACGTATCCAATGGATCTGAAAATTTACATGGTTGTATCCCTATGTGTTAGCTTCACTTAAGTCCAAACCTCACTCAATTTAGAGCTCTGTAGCTCGAGATATTGCAATTTTACCAAACTAGGTCACTGTTGTCTCGCGAAGTATTCGATTACTGCACGAAAAGTATTCGAATACTTCTTCAACAGAATGCAGAAAACTGAGTTTTAAAGGTATTCGAATGCTTTTTTCAGGAAGTATTCGAATACTGCACGAAAAGTATTCGAATACTTCTTCAACAGAATGCAGAAAACTGAGTTTTAAAGGTATAATTGACCTCCAATGATCCAAACTTGATCTGGAGTCCAAGAACTCCTTAAACAGATGTTTATTAACATGCTTAGGACTCAGAAACACATTCCTTTATTCAATTGATCAAAGTTTTACTTTTTAACCGATTAAACAAGCTTAAAATCATCAAAAGACAAAGAGATGATCATGGTATACCTCTAAGCTCCAAAAATTCGAAAATAAGACACCATAAGGGTCCTCAACACAGCACTAAAGTTCTGCCACTTCCCAAATACGAAATGCACTACAAGCTAGGACCTTTCACCATCAAAATGGATCCTTGAAGCCTCCAAAGACCAGTAGGTGGCTTCCTCCAAGAGAACCACCAACTCAGCCCCCACAACCTCTCAAACTCAGAAGCTACACTCAGAAATGGAGCACATTTCAATCTTTCAAGGCTTAAGTACACTCAAATAAGAAGCCATTATGAAGAAATCAAGAGTAAAGATAATCTCTTGAAGGTTTTCTATGGAGAAGAAGGCTAAGGGAGGGTGAAGGAGAGGGTGGCAACCAAATGCATTAGAAACCTCTACGTAGGCACATCAAAATCTGATCTAGGTTTTTGTGCAAGTGGCTATATATAGCCTACTTAAGTTTAATCACACAGTAATAGCACTAATAGCTACGCTTAGAACTTAAATTCCAAACATAGGATTCTGAACCTACTCATTTTTCTAGGATTTATCATATTTTTATTTTATTTTTCGCAGCACCTTCCCGGTACGCGTTTTTCCATAGCCAG